AGCGCCCTGTCCCGGCGGGCGCCCGCCCCGGGACGCAGCTTCTCCCTGGAGCGGGCAGAGGCCCAGGCGGTGAGGGGAGGGCGTGCCTGCCCGCTGCTCCTGCGCGCCGCTGGGAGAGCGTGTGGTAGCGGGCCCGGGGGCGGGTCTCGGCTGCATTCCTCTGCCCCTGGATACCTGTCACCCAGCGGGGCACCAGAGCCCCGGAGAGGGCGATTGGCGCGTGCGAAGCTGCCTGGGGAGCTCTGCGTGAGGGGTGCAGGGGTGTCCCCTCGAATACCAGTAAGAAACCAGTAGTCATCAAGGACAGGACTGGAAAATAGCGGGTTCTCTTTCACATAAACAGCTTACTCGGTATCTCAAGTCCGCTTTATTCCTTTCTTGTACGAATTACAGCAGATGCTCTTTGGCAGAAAGAGGCATTGTGGATTTATGTGAGGAGATTGAGCTAAAAACGAGAGGAAAGCAGCTCTGCACCTGCTTCTTGGTGATACCTTCTGTATATTTTTGATACAAATGGAAGCAGAAGCCTTTTGCTTGAGTTTAGCCTTACCATGGTTGGAGTTTGGTTTAGGTATGTTAAGTTTGAGAATCACGTATGTTGTTAGTAAGGAGCATAGACTCAAATTCTGGCCATTTACCCTGAAGGCACCAACAATGTGTGTAGTCAAAGCCTGAGCAGGAAAGTAATCACAGAAAAAGCCTCTGAATACCAGGAAAACTAACAAAAGTATATTTGTGAGGGTGAATGCAATAAATGAAAGTTTTTTCAGGCCTTTAATTTATATTTCTTTTCTTCTTTTTTTTTACTTTTTCTCTCCACCCAGGGAGTTGTTTTAAGGAACATGGAGGAGTGAGCTCCCTGCAGTTTCTTGAGTTTCTCATCTATCTGATTTTGACATGATCAAATGTTTGGTGGAAGATGTGCGAGCCAGGCTGCGTTCTGGAGTGACTATCAACTCACTGGGGCAGTGTGTTGAGGAGCTTGTCCTCAATAGCATTGATGCCAAAGCAACATGTGTAGCTATCAGGGTGGATTTGGAAGCTTTTAAGATCCAGGTGGTGGACAACGGCTCCGGGATGGGGAGAGAGGACTTAAATGCAATGGGAAAGCGGTACTTCACCAGCAAGTGCAACTCAGTGGGAGACTTGGAGAACCTGATGTTCTACGGCTTTAGAGGGGAGGCTGTGGCAAGCATAGCCAACATGGCCAGCGTAGTGGAAGTTTCATCTAAGACCAGCAGGACAGCAAAAACTTTTGTGAAACTATTTCACAATGGGCAAGCACTGGAAGTCTGCGAAGCTGAATTGAGCAGACCGAGTGGTGGAACTACAGTGACCGTGTGTAATCTGTTCCATCAGTTACCAGTGAGGAGAAAGTGTATGGGTCCTCTGTTGGAATTTGAGAGAGTGAGACAGAAAGTAGAGGCTATTTCGCTGATGCATCCCTCTCTTTCAGTTTCTTTAAGGAACGATGCCTCTTGTTCTATGGTGCTTCAGCTCCCTAAGACGAGAGATGTATACTCTCGGTTTTGTCAAATTTATGGACTGGGCAGATCACAGAAGTTACGAGAAATAAATCATAAGTCTGGGGGATTTGAGCTAAGTGGTTATATCAGTATTGAAGGACATTACAACAAGAATATGCAGTTCTTGTATGTGAATAGAAGGCTTGTTTTAAAGACAAGACTACATAAACTAATTGATTTTTTATTAAGAAAAGAAAGTGTCATTTGCAAGGCAAAAAGTGGCCCTGCGAGCAGACAGCCTACTTCAAGTCCTGGTCGCCATCGTTGTGGCCCAGAGTTGTACGGGATCTTTATTCTCAATGTGACCTGTGCGTACAGTGACTATGATGTGTGTCTGGAACCTGCAAAAACTCTAATCGAGTTCCAGAACTGGGATGTTCTTCTAACTTGCATAGAAGAAGGAGTGAAGATATTTTTGAAACGGGAACATTTATTTATTGAACCGTGTAGTGAGGACATCAGAGAATTTAATGAAGATAATGACTTTTGTTTGTATAACGCTCCAGTTCTGAAGCCCTCACTCTCTGACGAGAAGAGCATCCAAGACAGTTTTAAGAAAGCGTGTGATGAAATTGTGGATTCCTATGAAATGTGTAACTTGCAATCAAAAGATGTCAAAAGGAAATCCGTGACTGGAAAAAAATCTTTGAATCTTATAGAGTCAAATAAAAATCTACAGGAAACTGAAATCACCCCAAATCAGAAGGTTGCTGAACCGTCTGATCTGTGTAGAAACAACAAAGGGGAGATTCCACTGCCCAGCAAAGATGACACAGCTTCTGATTTTATTGTATCAAATATCTCAGAGCAGGAGCCAAAAGACACCAACAGTTCCCAAAAAGCATCTGATACTCATCTGAAACCTTCAGAAAATCTTCGTTCCTCTTTTAGTGGAGGGGTCAGATCAGAAACAAGAAAAATAGACAGTCGTGGTGACCTGCAGCATTGTGCAGAGAATTACATAAAAGATGTGGGAAGCCAGCAAGACAAAGTAGTGCAGAAAAGCAATACGGTCCATATCTTAAATAACGATGTTACTCAATCGCCGTCTGAGAGAGAAGACCCTACTGAAACAGCAATGGGACCGGAAACTGTCTCTGGAAGTTCATTGATGAGACTGTGTAATGCAAGAAGAGGAGACGGGGCAACAGCTGAAGTGATAGATGATGCTGGAAGAGGGGCTGCTAGTTCAATACCATTAAAATTGTGCCCTACAGGCCTCATAACACGTGTTATGCAAAATGAGCCCCCACATGAACGTGAACAAACAGAAACAAATCTTGCATTAAACGTGCAATGTAGACCTGGCCCTGTCAGTGCCGAGGGTATTTTTGGCCACAAAGTGCATTTTCCGATTCACTCTTTAAATGCTAAGGATATTTCCAGTAATACAAATAAAGAATATACACCTCCTTACACCAGAGAAGTATGCATGGCTGATGGTAATGAGTGGTTAGAGAACAAAACTTTGTCAAATCAGGTGAGCGAGGGGATAGCTATGCCTATTGCCACCAGTAAAAGCCATTATGAGACATCGAATGTTACAGAATTGCCGCTGGCAACTTCTTCAGGTATTCCTCACAATAAAGTTATAAAAAGCACTAGAAGACAAATAGCTGTGCCAAGATCTCAGCCCTCTAAGAAGCTGAGCTTGTCCACACAACTGGGTTCGTTAGAAAAGTTCAGGAGATATTATGGGAGAGTCAAGTGTACGCTGCCAACACCGTTGT